CTGGAGAAGTAGCTCAGAGCTGGAGAAGTAGCTCAGAGCTTTATGTCCTGATCTACAGGCAATGGGGTTGGGAAGGGAAGGTGGAGAGCCTGAGACTGGGACCGACTGACTGTGTTTGGCTGGTCTATGCTCCTTTCAGGCTTGTCTTGGGAGTTGGAAAGGAGGGATCTTGTAAAGCTGGCCAGTTTCAGGGACTTCCTGAAGCTATTTTTGTTGGGTCTGGGGTCACGCAATAATGGGGGGACAGACCACCAAAGTCAGTTAAAACAGAAGCAAACTAATTTATTACAGAAAAAAAAAGAGGAGGAAGAGGAGGAGGAGGAAGAAAATATCACCACAGGGCACAAAAGCTTATCAGCTAGCTGAGACTACAGCCAATGTTTAGGATTCTGAGACTGTGGCCTGGAGATGGGTTCTGGCCCCCTTTTTATAGTAAGGGGGAAAGCATCAGGCATGGGATGCATGCTAGAAGTCAAATAGAAACATTTTTTTCTTCTGAGACAGGGTTTCTCTGTGTAGCTTTGCACCTTTCCTGGAACTCACTCTGTAGCCCAGGCTCGCCTCGAACTGACAAAGATCCACCTGGCTCTGCCTCCCAAGTGCTGGGATTAAAGGCGTGCGCCACCACCGCCCGGCACATACAAACATCTTTAAAAGTTAACTTTGGTCCAGGCAGTTGTTAGCTATAAGGGGCAAGGGGAGTTAAAAGTTCACCTTTAGAGCTGATGACTGTCAGCTTTCATTTCTTAGGTTTACAGTTTTATGTTTCTATATACCCGGAGTCTTCATTTTGAGTTATTTCCTTTCTTAATGAGCTTCCCTGCAGGATGGAATGTTTCAGTCTCCGAGGAAACTGCTCTACAATATGTGGGTAGAGTCATGGCTCAGTAGGTAAGAGTGCTCGCTGGGAAAGCCTGAGGACTTGCTTTTGAATCCCCAGCACACATGACAAGAGCCAGGCATGGCCACATATGCCTATAGCTACAGTACTGGAGCAGTGGCCAGGGGAGATCATAGGGTAGCCTAGCCACAATGACAGGTTCCAGTTCAACGAGAAGCATTGTCTCAAGACAATGAGATAGAGAACAATAGTGGCAGATACTCAATGTTCACCTCAGGCCTTTGCATGCATGTATCTGAATGGACACCTGCATGCTCGCATGGATGCAACAACACAATTTATTTCTGAGTTTGATGGCTTGGAGTTCCACGCCCAGGATGCCAGGTAGATCAGTCCTGTGAGGCCTCTCTTTCTGGCTTACATGTGGTGGTCCTCGTGTGGTAGAGATGGAAGGACTAAGTACAGATGAGGCCCTACCCTTGTGACCCATTGAAACCTAATTGCCTCCCAAATGCCATCATGTCCAGGGGTAGGGTTTCAAAATACAGATTTTGAAGAAATAGAATTCATCCCATAGCAGCCAGCATTAGAAAACAGCTATTCAAGAAATGACTTGTTTTTACTTGGACTTGTAAACTTATTTGTGTGTATGTGTATTCATCAATGGAAATATGTACAGCCATATGTTCAGATGCTTTTACACATGGGTGCATGTATGTGGAGGCTCAAAGTTGAAGCTGGGGTCTCTCCTCGATGGCAGGTCTTTCACTGAGCCTAGAACTCATGGCTAGCCAATCAGCTTCAGGAATCCACCTGTCTCCTCACCCCTCTCCACTTGAATCTTCATATCTAAGATTCTTATTTTAAAATGACCATAACTGTGGCTGATTGGTCAGTGGATAGGGGCACTTGCTAGTGAACCTGATTACCTGAGTTTGATCTACATGTGTACCATGGCATGTGCCTTCCCCCATACTAAAATAAGTAAACGTAAAAATAATCTTTAAAGACTGTAACTTAATAATGGCATGTCTCAAGTGGTAATTTATTGGAGTAGTATTGATTTATTGTATTTGGCATCCTTTTATTGTTCTTTTTAAGTTTTTAGAAATATATTTTAATATTTCCTCTGGAAGATACTGATATGCTCCATATGGGTGTGTACTTCTTTATGCACTGTACCTTCAGATTAGACAATTGATTTCTCACTATATGAGTTTTAGAGGAAAGGAATGTGGAAGATTAAAAAAGGTAGCACAACCTCAGACCTTTCTCTTTTTTGTTGCTGGTTTTGACTAAGATGCCTTGCCCGTGTATAGCTTAGACTGGGAGGTCATAATGGGCTTTCCCCCTCCTCCTCAGCCCTCCTGTCGGGGTGGAATCACAGCACTTGAACAAATGGACACAGTTGTGCTGTACCCAGGTATTTACAGTGGCGAGCAGCAGCCATCTTTGGCCTTCAGTTATTGCTTGCTGACCTTTGGATTAGAGTTTAAACTGAGATGATGCTTACTACTGTAATGTTTTCATGCATTTTGATAACTTAAATCCTATTCTCTGTAATTCATTGTTTTAATTCCAAGCTCCTGTCTAATTTCCCCTGCTTACCATTTCGAATGCTACACTGCTTTTCTTTCTATAGCTTCTTCTCTAGGCTCTCTGACAGCCTCCTATATCTTTCCTGCCTTGTTATCGAGACTCCTCTACTTAACCAAACACCAACTGAGTTTCAGGAAATGATGATAGTAAATGATGGGTGTGCTGGATGTTCAGAGCATAGCCTTTCATCAGTGGTGTTCGAGAAAGATGTGTTAAAGGATCTGGGGCTTGATGTTACTCACCAAAGGCTGAATGGAAATTGTTAGAGAGAAGAGTATTTCAATAAATCATCTAAAAGGGGAAACTCACATATTGCATCCCTCTCCTGTTTCATTCCTGAAATAGTGACTCCCTGAAAGGGGCTGGACCTTTTTAAGATCATCTCTTGGAACAAAGTACTAAAGGTGTGACTTACTTCTTAGAAGTCTGTATATTTCATTTCCACTTTTGTGGGGACCAGCTCCCACATTTATTTACCCCAGGAGTGAGGAATAAGACATTTAGATAGAAATATAGAGGAGAGAGACAGAAACACAAGATAGCCTTGGGAGGGCCTGGGTCAAAACCCACCCAGCCCCTTCTGTCTCTTCTAAAGAGCTTTTAAAGGAAAGGAATGCCAAGGGGTGGAACAAAAGACCTCCCCCAAGCACAGCCAAGTGCAGAACATTCCAAACACCTGGTGACCATGCATGTGATCAAGCCATCCCCTACGGCAGCCCTGCTGTGTAAAGCAAGCTCAGCTCTCACTAGGAAACCTCTGTGGACCCCAACACATTTTCTTCCATGTCCTTAGTAAGATAAAATGGGGCTCAGAGCAGAACTTCCCTAGGAAGACTTGAAGCCCATAGTCCATTTTGCTCTAGGCATCCTGACCAGTGGGATTCTCTTTTCTTTCCTTTTTTTCCTTTCCTGTACCTTTTCTCTTTCCTTCTTTATTTGTAGACAAAGCATTGCTATGTATCCCTGGCTGGTCTGGTACTCACTGTGTAGTCCAGTCTGGCCTTAAGGTCATGGCCATCTCTCAGCCTTAGCCTTTTGACTATCAGGGTGACTGGCGTGTGCCACCATACCCAGCCTGGTCATTCATCTTAATGGCTGTTTGCTATGGGATAAATGTTTTTCCTCTTCTCACACTCCATGTGGTTTGCTATGGTCATCTTGGGTTACCACAATATATGTGGACTTCTCCAGCGTCAGTAATTCAGTTGAATTGGGACACTGTCCCCCTGGAGGTGACATTAAATCTCAAAGACTGAGAATTCAGTCCTACGTGATCATGTCCACTTCAGATGCCTCTGGGAGCTCTGAAACATAGTGCTGATCAGGGGAAAGGGGATTGACCTCATATTCTTTGACCCTGTAGTTCTGGAGCTCCCTCTGAGAACCTTAACCTGGGGTGCTGCTGCTCACTAGTGTCCTGTGGACTGCAGAGGCCCAGCTCAAGTCAGGTCTAAATTTACATTTACTCACTAGTGTAGAATATTGCAGATTTGTTCATTGTCAATAAAATAGTTCTAAACTTTAACAAAAGCAAGCGATAAGGGAACTAGAAATGGGAATTTGTATGTTTAGATATTTAAATAGACTCTTGAACACATACAGAGAGCTCCCAATATGTAGAGCTCCATTCATGGGAATGTGACACAAGGCCATGGTGCAAGGTGGGTCTGCTGGCCTGGGTGTGCAGAGAACTACCGTCTCTGGCAGACGGCCTCTGTTGTTCCTTTCTTCCTTTCATTTATAGGACATCATTCTTAATGTTGAATGCTTTTCTGAGAAAGAGATGGGAAGAGAGACAGAAACAGAGACAGAGAGACAGACAGACAGAGGTTATATATTCCAAGGCGGCCTGGAACTCACTGTGTGTAGTGGCTGTCTGTCCTTCCTCCTTAGTCCCCTGAGTGTCAGGATTGTAATTGTGCACTTTTATAAATGAGCGAACTTGTATGTTTAAAAATAACAATTTAAATGTCTGTGCAAGGATAAGAATTTTCAAAGCAAATTGACCTGTGAGCACAAAAACAATTGCATGATGTTTCAGTATTTAATATTCGCCAGAAATAATATGGGCATAGAAAAAAGACCGACCCAGGTGAAAGAATTAGCTTCAAGATGTAAAAGAGTATGTGCTGAATTCTCCTCCCTTCTTCCAAACTGTGTAGGTCATATACGCTTTGAATACTAAAAACGATGAGCACGAGTCTGCAATTCAGGCCCTCAAAGATGCTCATGAAGAAGAAATCCAACAGATCCTTGCAGAAACAAGAGAAAAAATACTGCTCTACAAAAGCAAGGTAACAGAAGAGTTAGACCTCAGGAGAAAGATTCAGGTTTTGGAAGCCTCTTTGGAAGACCATGAGAAGATGAAGCAGCAGGCGCTGACGGAGTTTGAAGCCTATAAGCACAGAGTTGAGGACATGCAACTTTGTGCAGAGGCCCAGCACGTCCAACGCATAGTGACAATGTCGCGGGAGGTCGAAGAGATCAGAAGGAAGTTTGAAGAAAGGTTGAGGAGCTTCGGACAGCTCCAGGTACAGTTTGAAAAGGACAAACGGTTGGCCCTGGAAGATTTGAGAACCGCCCACAGACGGGAAGTCCAAGAGCTGTTGAAGTCGCAGCAGGACCACAGTTTCTCCGTGAATAAGGGGCAGGAGAAAGCAGAGGAGATGCACAGGATGGAGGTGGAGGCCTTGAACAGCACCCTGGAAGAGCTGAGACTTGAAAAGAAAAAGCTCATTGAGGAATATGAAGGCAAGTTGAACAAAGCTCAGTCATTTTATGAGCGTGAGCTTGATAATCTGAAAAGGTCCCAGCTCTTCACAGCGGAAAGCCTGCAGGCTAGCCGGGACAAGGAGGCCGATCTCCGCAAAGAGTTCCAGGGACAAGAAGCCATTCTGCGAAAAACCATAGGAAAACTGAAGACCGAGTTGCAGATGGTGCAGGATGAAGCCAGCAGTCTTCTTGACAAATGCCAAAAGCTGCAGGCGGCACTGGCCACAGCAGAGAGCAATGTACAGGTGAGTGGGCATGGGTCGTTTAGTCTTTTCTGTCTTTACATGTTTGATGTGTGTGTGTGTGTGTGTGTGTGTGTGTGTGTGTGTGTGTGTGTGTGTGTGTGTGTGTGTGTGTGTGTGTAAATCTGAGGTTGACATGGGGTGTTTTCTCAGATTGCTCTCCACCTTCTGTGTTGAGGCAGAGTCTTTTGCTAAACCAGAGGACTCCATTTGCCATTTCAGATATTCAGGCTAGCCAGCTTGCTCCAGGGTGTCCTGGCCTCTGTGTCTCCCTGGCTCCAGCATTGCAAGCGTCCGCCATGCTCACCTGGCTCTAGCTGGGTTCTAGGGAATCTGAACCCTGTCCAAACATCTGGATCATAGACAGTTTACCCACTGAGCAATCTACACACACACACACACACACACACACACACTTTAAAAAAACTTTATTTTTTATTTATTTATTTTATTTTATGTGTATGAGTATTTTGCCTGCATGTATCTGTTAATGGATGGTTATAAGCCACCATGTGGATACTTGGGAACTGAACTCAAGGTCTCTGCAAGAACAGCAAGTACTCTTAATTGCTAAGCCATTGCTCAGTCTTCCCCACTTTCTCATATGCATTACTTTATTGATTTGGAGAGCAACCTGACTGGCTTTAGGATCAGCTGTTTATATTCATACCACTTTATAGTCCCGCCCCACCCCATTTTTGTCTTTGCCTTTGTGAGGAAAAGAAGTGGAAAGGGTCATTTTTATTCCCTTTACCCAATTTGTTAGTAGTTTAGACATCAAGCCCCCCAAAAGATAAGTTTAAAATCTTATTGATACTATGTGTAAGTTTCATTTAAACAGCTTACTAGTGTTTCCGTCAGAGTGAAAATATTGAGCTTAGGGGTTAATTGTGCTTTTCTTTTTCTCTTCAGTAAGGATGATCTGCCTCTATATTTGGTATTTAGACACTGAACAAAAAATCATTGCTTTTGGTGGTGACACCTTTAGCCCGAGTACTCAGGAGGCAGAGGCAGGCAGATCTCGGAGTTTGAGGTCAGCCTGGTCTACAAAGAGAGTTTGAGGATAGCCAGGGCTGTTACTCAGAGAAACCCTGTCTCAAAAAAACAACCAAACAACCAAACAAAAAGTAGAATTTAGTAAGAGGTAGCCCACATGCAGAAAAGATGCCAAAAGCCTCCACAAATCTTGTTGTGACGGCACAGGAATCGTCCTGGCTGTGTGAGAATCTACAGAGCTTTAGAATTCATTAGGCAGGGTGGAAATAGACTTCCCTAATTGGGTCATATGACCCATTAAAATGTCATGTTGTGTTACCTCATCCAACGGATTTAAAACTAAATAGTCCTAGTTACGCAGAACTTTCCAGTAAGAGAAAGGTGTTGCTTGTAATTTAAATAAATTATTTAGCTTAGTGTCCTGTTTGCATTTTGATTATGGCTGTTTGATCTTTCTTAGGTTCTTCAGAAACAGCTTGATGATGCCAAGGAGGGAGAAATGGCCTTGTTAAGCAAGCACAAGGAAGTGGAGAGTGAGCTGGCAGCTGCCCGGGAACGCTTACAGCAGCAAGCTTCAGACCTTGTCCTCAAAGCTAGTATGTCCACACATAGCTTGGTGCGGTGCTCAGCGAAAGCCGGCACTTTGCTGTCCATTCAAAACAGTGTCTGAGTGTTTTAAAAGTTCTTCTGATTTCATGTTTACCGTTCCTTCTAACATTTTGAAATTATTCAGACTGTTTTTTTTTAAGTCTCTAATATCTCCTTGAGTAATTATAACAATGAAATGATGAGATTGTCAACAGTTGTGGGGGGCACAGCCCCTACCTCCCCACTCCCCCCCTCCCCACAGCAGCCTGCAAGGATTCCTTTCAGAACTCCACTGAGGTTAAGTCTGGACTTTGACCTCACTGCAGAAAGGATGCTCAGGATGAGCCAGTTTGAAGCAGAGTTGTTTGCCTGAAGGGGTTGTTAACATGCATTTAAATCCCGGGTCAACAGAAAAGAGGTGAACGCTGAACAAATAAGACACGTGGGTGTGGGCTTCTCAAGGGAGAGCTGCACCTTGCTGTCTTTCCAGTAGCCATGTTTATGATGCTGGTGTGGTTCCAGTTGTCAGCTTTGGAGCTGTCAAGGAATCTGAGGTTGAAAGGGGGTTCCCGGGGTCTTCTAAGCTAGGATTTTAGTCAAGGTAACATCCTGAGATCACATGAAGCATTTATGGTCAATAAAAGTAAATAGCCTAGTCTATGAGATTCCCAGAAAATATTTGGGGAAGGCAGAAGACCAGATTCAAAGTTCTGTGTGCTCAAGCCTTAAGCAAAGTTTCTTGCTGTTTTTACTTTCTTATTTGGGAACATCTTTCTGTAAAACAAGCGTTGTCTCCCTGGGAGCAGTTTTCACAACACATGGTGATTGCACTGGGATGCTTAAGCTTCAGCTGGTGAGAGACCTCACCTGATCTTTGAGCCTAGTGGCTTCCTTTTTCTTCCCATGACCCCATCTTGTCCCCTGTCTTTCTACCCTGCCGCAGCAGGCCTCATATTGTTTGGTTTTAGGAGTATATTTTTATAGAATACACTCCAGAAAAATGAGCCATTATTCTTTACTATCCTCCCTCTTTCCTTCCATCTGTCTGTCTGCCTGTCTGACTCTGGAAGAATTTGTATGTAGGGAACAAAGGTGGGTTCACACGGGACAGCTGAGTCAGCCCTCCAGTGTGGCCGGCGTTCTTCATTGCATAGCCCTTCGTAGGAAGATGCTGGTCCAGGTCGTCTGAAGGTGCTTTTTGTCGAAGTGGACAGTGTATCCAGTGAAGCTGTTTCAGGACCCCCTTTCATTCTGATTGGCTCATGGTGACCTTTCTTGCCCATAAAGTAGTCATTTTTAATGACCTGCATGCAGCATGCAGCAGAAGAATGGGCATGCATTTAATGCTGCATGCAGCATGCAGCAGAAGAATGATGCAGGCAATTTGCGAGCCCGCAGATGCTCGGCCTATGTTAGGCTTTCCCACTGCCTGGGCTACCGTAGGCTCTTTCTGGCTGTTTGTCCGGGGTTCTTTGAAAATCTCAGCTTCAGTGATGCCTTCCAGAAGAACCTGTTCCACACTCTAGATTTCACATCTCTCCCTTTATCTGTGTCTTCTCCTCACCCATTTTTAAGTAGAGTATCTTCTATTTATTCTTGCACAGTTTCAAACATGTAAACAGTATGTCTTTATCGTATGTAAACAATGTGTCTTGATCATATTCATCCCTTCCACCACTCCTCACCCAGTTTGACTGTCATTTATTTTATTTTTTCATAAATGTGTTGTCCTCTGGTTTTTGATCTAGTCTTCATATAAAACAAATTCAATTGAAACTCCACCGCTGTCTACAGCCTTTGTTCCCTGAATACAGAGAGAGAGAGAGAGAGACAGACAGACAGACAGACAGTGAGAGACAGAGCCTGAGAGGGGTGGGAGTGAAAGAGAGAACAGAAAAGAATAAACGGCTCATTTTTGTATCATAGTATCACTCGGTGCATCCTCTCTTTCCCAACAGACTTTTAAATCAGCTATGGAGGAGTTTCTCCTACTTCAACTTATTCAGATTGCATTCTTCTCCTTTTTTAAGAGGTGAAATGATACAAGGAAGCAGCATTAGGTGTGAAAATAGACTTTCTTTTTTAGAGGATTATAATTGGCTAAGACAGTCCCATGGTGAACATTTCCCTTTGTACAGCGAGGAAGCCAAAGAGAGCCGTGTGGCCACTCGGGCATGAAGTCCAGTTAATGTCACTGGAGACACTTTCATGTCAACGGACTTAAAAATTAAGGAGATTTTCTTTGTGGGGGACGGTTTCTAGGTCATATCGGAATGCTTCGAGCAACTCAGATGACCCAGGAAGTTGCAATTAAAGATTTAGAATCGGAAAAATCCCGAGCCAACGAGCGATTATGTCAGCTTGAAGAGGAAAGAGCTTTTCTGCAAAGTAGAACACAGAGTCTGGATGAAGAACAGAAGCTGCAGGTGCTGGAGCTGGAGAAGGTATGGTGATGGGTACCGGGAGGACAGGAAGGGAAGTTCAAATCCCAACTCGTACTGCACAGGAGCCATATGGTTCTTGTCTGCTTTGTGCTGGTTTGTTTTGAGGAGGGAGGTCTGAAGGGAGGCTATGCGATTTTATGTATGCATTCCAAATATTTGAGAAATAATGTATTTTCTACAAGTCTAAGAATTTCAATTTATTTTAAGCCAGAAATTGAATAAACTCTTACTGCATTGGGATTTGTATTTTATTAACTATCATATTAAACATACTGTTTTAAGAAAGATTTTTATTTATTTATTAATGTATACAGTGTTCTGTCTGCATGTATGCCTGCACACCAGAAGAGGGCACCAGATCTCATTACAGATGGTTGTGAGCCACCATGTGGTTGCTGGGGATTGAACTCAGGACCTCTGGAAGAGCAGCCAGTGCTCTTAACCACTGAGCCATCTCTCCAGCCCCCTAAACATACTTTTTTTTTTAATTTAAACAAATGAAGTATGTTATTACATACACTCCAGGAAGCTTCTTTGTCTTTTCTTTCTCTCCCTTCCCCCAACCCCACTTCCTTCCTCTCTTTCTGGTCTGGGTTTTTGCTTTTTGGACTGGGAATGAACCCCAGGCCTTGAATGTGTTAGGGACATGCTGTGCGTGTGAACTCTAGTCCCAGGTTCTTTCACTTTTTATTTTGAAACAGGGTCTGTAAGTCTCAGCTAACCTTCACCCTGAACGTCTGATCCTCCATGGCAGCCTCCCCAGGAGCTAAGACTACAGGCCCATAACATGATGTCTGACTCTAGGAGGATTTTACAGAAGTAAAAAGAAGATGACAGATATCAAAGTGTGAAAATTCGTAGAGCAGCACTGTGACTTTCTAGGTTAAACACTAATGTGTCCTCTAGACCACAGTTGCTGCCTATTTATTGGACCGTTTCATAGAAAGCCATTAATTATTTCTCCCACAAAACAAGCGTGGGTTTGGGCTATGTTCTCCCTTCTCCTCTCAGTATTTAAATACATTTAGAAGTATCTATTGCTCACTCCAGTTCACTCCTCCATCTGATGCTACCTTCTCTTCCCACCATGCCACAGGATCTGGGTTTGCCTCAGTTTCCCCGTCTGTAGTTATCACTACATTGGTGAATCTTACATCGCACTGTTTGTACCTCCCCCCTCCCACACACAGTTAACCGTGGTATTTCACATCCTCTCATTTCTCTTCTACCTCTTTAGCCTTCAAGTCTCACTTGTAAATTTTCCAGCTCTGCCCACTCCATTTCCTTTGATTTTCCTAGCAGTAAAAGCAACTATTGTTTGAGCATTTCACACATGATTGTGTTGTCATGTGTTTTGATCGAATCTTTCCCCCTCAACTCTTCCTTCCTACACCTCTACCACTTTTTCCTCTCAAATTCATGAGCTCTTTCTAAACCCACCGAGTCCATGGAATGCTTCCATTGAGTATGTGAATTATGTACAGGTGCAGGGCCATCCACTCGAACATGGCAGCCTGTTAAGAACTGCATCCCAAGCGAACTGTCTCTTTCCCCCTATCAGCCATCAGTTGCCTGCAGCTCCTATCCAGAGGTGGGAGTGTGTGAGCCCCTTCCCCATTCATGCTGGGACGTTGGCTGGCTTGCTCTGGCGTAGGCCTTGTGCATCTGCCGTGACCCTGTAAAGGCATGTTTGCAGTGGTCCTGTAATGGCCAGAAAACACTTCCAAAGGAGTCCTCCGCCTACCCCTGGTTGATCTTTCTGACTCTTCCTCTGAGATGATCCCTGAGCCTTGGGGTTAGGGATTGTGGCATTGATGTCCCATTTAGGGCTGAGCATTCCCCAGCCTCTTGCTCTCTGCACGTTGTGATGTGACTGTCTATAGTAATCCCCATCTACTGCAAAAAGCAGCTTCTCTGCTGAGAAGTGAGAGCTGCAGTAGCCTACAGGTATTAAGTATGTGGAAGACAGCTTAATACAATATTAGTTAACAGAGTAATAGGAGTAGGTTTTCCACTAGGGCCCAGGCACCGGTTCTTGGCCCAGACGTGAGTTCTGTCTTGTGGAATGGGTCTTAAATCCAATCAGAAAGCAAATGGTTATTCCCAAAACATTCCTGCCATCGTCACTATTGTTCTTAGTTATGCCCCCAAACGTAATGGTAAGACCCTGCTGCTGAAGACACCCCGCAAGCTTGAGTCATAGGACATGCAGAAATCAAGCTGGTCCTCACCGGGAGGCTTCATCCCTGCTGGCTAGCTTTCATAGTGCCAAAAAGTGCTCTGCTTGCCACCAGGGGAGAAATGTGCCCACTACTGTTACCCAGCTGTGAGCCTCTCGGGCTACAGTGATGACCTTCCTGGCAGTTTCTTTTATTTCTTGGTTTAAAATATTTTATTTTGCCTCAGGCACCTTGCCACTCTCTGACAGCACCAGTTGTAAGGTTTCAAAGTCTCGCTCCCAAAGCAGCTCGTTCATGCCAGTCCACATATGTCTAAGATGCTCAGACATTGATAGCGCTAAGCAAAAAAGGGGTGCTGCTTCTTAATCTCTTTGTGTTTTCATTCAAGAAAGTAAATGAAGCAAAGAGAACTCAGCAAGAATATTATGAAATGGAGCTTAAAAACCTGCAGAACAGATTGGAAGGCGAGGTGGCCCAATTAAACGAGGCCCATTCTAAGACTTTAGAAGAGTTAGCCTGGAAGCACCACATGGCGATGGAGGCTGTCCACAGCAACGCAAGCCGAGATAAGAAAAAGCTACAAATGGTGAGTGGAAACTTCGTTCACCACTACGGTTGAAGCTGGTGAGGGTTTGGTGATGGTCCAACATGACCCATACTGTGGACGAACAATTGCTTGAATTTCACGGCTCCTATCTTGTCATCGTGCTTTAAATCCTGGTTCCAGTGGTAACATCCATAAACGTGAAAGTTCTTCCCTGTCCTCCTCTTGAGACACGGCCTCACTGTGTAACTCAGCCTGGTCTCCTTGTCTTTCTCCTGTCGCCCCTTCCCAAGTGCGTGCACCACCATACCTGGCTTATGTGAAGTTCTTGGTGGGCGCATGGTTTATTTTAGGGCAGAGTACTTTACACAAGCCGTAACAGAAACACTCTTTGATCGGGGGCTTTTTCATCATGAGATAACTGTACCAAGCAGGAAGCCTTAATTCGCCACTGTATCTATTTCTAGTAGATAGCTTCCCTGGGAACATTATTCACTTATTTGTGTTTTTCTTTTCCTTCCTTTCGTAAGTCATCACCTTGTGAATGGTACTGCGTGGCAGCCAATAGCACACAGTAGGGAATGCAAGTTGTCTGCCACCCCTGGGCCTTTACACTTAGCTCGTTGCTTGTCAGCCGTGGTGGCGTGGACCCTACGCTGCGCCTCCGCCACCTTCTCTGACAGAGGAGGGTGTGATCGGTCCTGTCACGTTCCTGTAAGGACCACGGGAGAACAGCTGTTGAGTACTTAGCCATGTCCTGGCTGTGGGGATCAATAACGTTGCAGGTGTTTGGTGTCATGTCCCGAATTCTGCAGTTAGGCTTCACACGTTTTTTTTTTTCCGATTTACCCTTCTGACAGCTGATTGGTTGCTGCCCCCTGCTTACTGATGAGGGGATGTACTCAGTCACATGCAGTTTGTAAGAACTGGTTGGCTCTCGGGTCTGTCAAATCGTGTGGCATTTAAATACCCCCACGCAGGTGTTTCTTCATAAGGGCGCTAACGATTTATACAGTAGCCCCTTATAGTTTGCAAGTGATTTTTCTGTGGCATATCCCTTCATACTCAAGACTTGGAGATTAGTGTCATTTTATTAGGAAGTATACACTATATTTAATAAGCCTAAATGATTTTTGCAAAACCATGGACCTGATTAAGTAGAATAGATAAAATGCAAATTTAGATTTTTTCTGCCTTAATACCCCTTCATTTTGTGGCATAAATACTGGAAGAAATATTTTAAGCTGTAAAAATTAAAAATTTAAGTAAGATTTTTCTGTTAGAATGTTATTTCTTTCAGACCTGGTATGTGTCCATCTAGGCAGAGACAAAAATGATTGCACTCCTTCTCAAGACTGATTGCCATTTTCTCTGTGCTGGTACAGGCGTCCCATTCCTGTGTGGTCCTGGGCCTGCTTAAGGAGGAGGCTGTGCACTATCCAGGGTTCCACACTAATACGTGCAGTGGGCACCTGTAGATGTATCCAACAGCTGCCTTAGCCCACGTGTTGTTCGTTTACAAAATATGTTTATTTTTATTTTATGTGTGAGCATTTTGCCTGTACATGTATCTGTGTACCACATGTGTGCAGTGACTTTTGAAACCAAAGGAGGACCTTGGAGCCTCTGGAATTGGATTACAGAAGGTTGTGAGCCACTGGGTAGGTGCTGGGGATCAAATCTGGGTCGGCTGGAAGAGCAGTCGGTGCTCTTAACTGCTTAACCCCACTTACAGTTCTTAAAACCTGTTTCCGAACATGTTTGCCATTGGAAAGATGACTTGGACTTTCCTGTGTGTGAGCACTTCAGAAGCTCTGTGTTGTGTTGGAGGTTTCCTTGGGGAAGCAGTAGACACACCCGCTCACCCCGGAAAGGGAGCCTGTCACAGACCAAAGTAACAATTATACCAGCGTCCAAGTTGGGGAAGCGATGCGCGATTATTGGGGTTCCTAGCAGGAGCATGGATGGGGTGTCACAGGGAGCAGGGGTGACTCAGAAGCAGCTGTATCTACAAAAAGCCCCCTCCCGCCCCAAGCTGCAGCTGGAGCAGGCGCTCTCTCCATGGGCTGCAGGCAGCTGTACAGGTCTCAGAGACTCGGGCTGGCCAGAGCTCCGGCCTGAGCCATTTTTTTCTCCGCTTTTATGAAGCTGGGGAGGAGCCTTTGAGAAACCCAAAAGTTTTCCCTTCACCACACCTGTGACACTTTGCTTACCTCCTGCGGCTCCTGGGCTCCTGGAGAGAAAGTTTCTATTGGAAGGGATTTGCCAGAGAACACTCTGGGCTGCCTTAGCTGTACCACTTACCCAATTAGCTTGTTTCTTCCCAGCTGCCCGCTTCCCTTGTTGCTGCCCAGTTAACATACTAAGTGTGTAAGCCGCCAACACCAGCTTCCTTCCAGAAAGGCCGGCCTCTCTCTAGTGTCAAAGTAATTTTTTTTAAAGAACATTGAGGGGGAACAGATCAGTGGCGGGCTCAGCCATCATCCAAGAAGTTTTCCCCTGCAGCCGCTGGGGGCAAACACAGAGACCCACAGCTGGATATTATGCAGAGAATGAGGAACCTTGGAACACTCAGCCCTAAATGGGATGTCTCCCTCAAATCCCTCCCCTTGGGGCTCAGGGAACTAACTCCTCAGAAGAGTCTGCAGAAAAAGTGTAAGAGCCAGAGGGGATGGAAGGTGCGGAGGTGGGGGTGGACTACCACAAGGTCCTCTCCATCAACATGGTCAATGCATATCTGAACTCCCGAGGGCTGAGGCAGCATGCACAGGGCAGCGGGGTTCTGCACCAGGTCCTCTGCAGTACATTATGCTTCCAGTGTTTGTATGGGATTCCTGAGTGTGCCAACAGTGGGTATCCTGGGCTCCTTTCCTTCTGTTTGTTTTGTCCAATTCTGACCTGCTAGTTTTTGTTTTATGTTGTTATGTTTTGTTATCCCTTAGAAGTCTGGTGGGTTTTCTTGTTTTGTTTTTTTGTTTTTTTCTAATGAGAGACAAGGAGTGGATCTGGATGGAAGGGACTGGGAGGAGTAGAGGGAGGGGAAACACTCTTTTCAATAGAAGAAAAAAGGTAAGAATTATCTTAAAGGGCTTAGTGACTAATGAATATGCTCCTGAAAGTGAAAAAATAAAGAGACTTTAGCTTAGACAACCTCTCTGTTCCTTACTTATTGCAAAAGGATTGCATTTCTTACCATAACTATAGTTCACCATCTTGACAAAAGTGCAGGGACCACCTGTGCAGAAAAGATGACATTGCACCCAAGACTCCTCTCCTCAGACAGGCTAGTCTTTGGCTGGCCCCTAGGAACTGGGGTTTCAGAAGGGTGTCATCATCCCCCAAGATGAAAAGCTTGCCTGCTTAAACTGTATGTACCAAGAGTGTAAAAATGCAGACCACCTACATTCCTCCTGGAACACTGGAAGAGGGTGCCCTAGAGAAAAAGACCTGGGCTCCAAGTCTCTCGGGAGCCTCCCTGCAGATTTTATTTCCTGCTGTTGTCACGGCTTGCTAGAGGAGTCTCGGAGCATGCGCAGTGTGCAGGGCCCTTGGACTCCTGTAGACTCCTCGTTCACACCTTTCCCTCTGTAGATTGTGATTTAAACATTTTCACCATAATAAACCATAGCTAGGTGCCAGTTGTATATCCAAGCCTGTGGCTACTCCTAGAATATCATCTAACTCCAGTGTGTCATGGAGGGCCCTAACACAACCTTCCCACAACTCTCCTCACCTACCTCACTGTAGAAAAGAGTGCTCTTACCAAGCTCTCTCTCTCTCTCTCTCTCTCTCTCTCTCTCTCTCTCTCTCTCTCTCTCTCTCTCTCT